TATGAAAAACAAAGACATCTTGGTATATCTAAGAAAATCATCAATGAAGCCATTTTAAAATGGTTGCCTTGTAAACCAGGAAAGCTGACAGGAAGTACAAAAACAATTATTTAATTTCCAACTATCTTTCTATCAGATATATCATATTGTCACATGCTTGACTATTATATAAAAAATTAGATAGTAGTTATTTTAAGTATAGTACATATGTTCCAAGATTTGTGATGAGAGAGGTCAGTCTCTAAAAGTTAATAAGACTTAATAGCTTAACAAGGCTTTTCACTCTGTACAGTTTAACAAATCACCAAGGTCATTACTAAACAACACAATCAATTTATTCAACTTCTGCCAACCAACAACTTTTTAAAAAAAGTTCAAGCTGACTTTGTGTTTTATGTTGCGTGGACAGTCAAGTTTTTACTTACATACTATTTTAATATTCTTTTGCTTTCAGGGTGTATTTCCCCTTAAAGTTGTGTGTTTAAAAGATCTAATTATTATTCTAACATGTTCTATTCAAACCTGAATACTCTCGAAACTTCTATAAAAATTAAGTAGGTATATTAGGAAATCTACGAGAGAATTTTCCTTCTACTTTTAAACATAAACTAGATGAGCTTAATTTGCTTTATTCTGACAAATTTTCTCTTTGAGGTTTGGTCACTATCCATTTCCTGTGTTGCACTGTACATATCCTCCCTATAGTTACTATTCTCAAAACCAATATAATGATGGTCCCCTAACACACTACATGAAAGAAGCCAAGCACTGGATATCATCTGACAGTTCTGTAAATTATTTTAAATGGATATTAGCATATGTTTTCTTTGATATTTCTGTCTTTCAAGAAGTTAGCATGCCCACATTTGGGAGGAGCCAGAAAGGTTGAATGAAAGATAGGAGTGAATCAGATTGGAAGCTGTGAATCAGCTTCAACTCCAACACTTAGAAAGTATGACTTTAGAAGCCACTGATTCCTTGTGCCCAAATCACCCTTCAATGAGCAATAACATTATTTCCACCTAACAGTGTCGACAATATAAATAAAGAAACACAAACACAGACAACACTGCGGTGATGGCCTGAAGGAAAGGGAGGGTAAGGGTTGGGTGGAGGGCAAACAGGGAAAAACCAGGGACAACTGCAATAGTGTAAACAAAAAACTAATAAAGGTAAAACATAAAGTAAAAAAGGTTCCTTATTAATTTTAAATTCAACTTACATATGAACACAAAGAAAAAACAAAGAGCCAATTGCAAATGTAAAAGAAAAAAATTACTGAATCCTATTAAACCCCCTTCTCCCCCACAACCAGAAAAGCTGAAAGTGATAAAATACTCAGAGAATTACTAGGCATCATCCTAACATTAACCTATTAAACTACACAACACTCATGAAACAGATGTAAGTACCTCTAGTTTTAAAGAGAAAAGAACCCTAAATCTGATTCTCCTAAGGTTACAAAGTTAGACATTAGATTAAACTCTAGGTCTTTGTACTCTTCATAATTTTAAACTGTTGGATCAACCTGGAAAAAAAAAAAGCTACCATTACCTCACTCTATATGCTATCCTCTATATTTGTGCTGCCCAATAAGGTAGCCAGTAGCCACGCTTAGCTCTTAAGCACTTGATAAGCAGGTAGCCCCAAACTGAGATAGCTGTACGCGTATAAAATACAAACGATTTTGAAGACTTAGTATGAAAAGAATATAAAATATTTCATTAATTATTTTACATCAATTACATGTTGCAATAGTATTTTGGAAATAGTGGATTAAATAAAACTCACTGAACAGCACTGGTCCATACATACTTCTTTCCCAAGACCTCTCACAGAAATGTGATTACAACCAAACCAATTAGCAGTACATATTTAGAATTTGTCGTAGCACAACAAAGAATCATATTTGGAGGGGGGAGGAAACATGCAAAAGTGTTTTGAGGGACACACACATAAATGTAACTAATAAATACAAAAAAATAGGCCATTCTAGTGTAATCTAAAGATTATAAAAGATGTTTCTACCTCAATACAAGCAGGTGACACTTTGAGTAAGTCACAAGGAGAAAGTATGACTTTCCATTAGAGTCATATCACATCTCCTCAGGTGGAAAAGTAAAAATAATCCTATTCTAATGTACACACAGGCTTATCAAAGTTAGCAGAACATGCTCATTCATAAAGCATCTCAAAAAACCCTGCCTAATGTGTATTTATAAATCACATTATCATAATATTGTTCTAATATAGAGTCAGCACTTAATCTTATTTTGACTAAAGTAATGAGATACACAACACAGTAAAGGGGCACATCAATTTAAAAAATAAGAATCATTTAAGAGAACACTGGCAATTCTATAAAATGTTACATAGAAAGTTACCATGTGACCAGTAATTCCATTCCTAGGTATATAATGAGAAATAAAAACATAGGTCCACACAAAAATGTGCACATGAATGTTCATAGCATTATTATGTATAAGAGAAAAGAAGTGGAAGCAATGCAAATGTCCATCAATGGATAAATAAAATGTGGTGTATCCACAGTGTGGAATTATTATTCCACTAATATAGCCATTAAAAAGAATGAAGCACTGATACATTCCTGTTACATTTGTGAATCTTAAAAACATGATGCTACTTGAAAGAAGCCAGCCACAAAAGATCCCATATTGTATAACTCTATTCATATGAAATATCCAGAATAGGCAAATCCTAAAAGTGACTGTGAAATGGAGAGTGATTGCTAATGAATGTGTTTCTTTTTGGGGCGATAAAAACGTTCTGAGAGTGTACTGATAGTTGCAACTATGTGAAAACATCAAAAGCCACATTAAATGGATTAATTGTAAAATATGAGAATCATGTCTCAACGAAGCTGTTAGAAAAATGTAGGACAAAATGGAGGGAAAAAGATTACAAGGATTTTCAAGCTATTGCTTGATTGCTATTTTTCTGGATTTTATCACTGTGTAGTCTTTGTCTTTACGTTTTGTCACTGGCGATGTTTTTTGCATTTTTAACCTTAAAACACTCAGGAAATTAATAGCCTACTCCTAACCACTCAATAGTTCCTCAAACTTTGAAACCCACTTCAGAGATAAAATGGCTTTGGGGAAAGCCCAAAAAAATAGTTACTATGTCAGCCAAGCAAATGGTCCAAGTTCGGAAACAGGTGATGGGAATTTGAAGATCTCAAGCATACAGAAATACAGAGGGACAACGTGAAAAACACTACTTTACCACTTTCTTTTAAAAGCTAACTCTTGATTCCGATGCAGAATGGATTAAGATTAAAAAAAAAAAAAAAACCAACCCAACCTTAATTATGTAAACTCTTAAAACTGAAGGAGTAAAGTCTATAAAAAACGTGTGTGTGTGTGTGTGTGTGTGTGTGTTTAACCCTCACACTGTGTGTACCCTAAGAACCTCTGGGAGCCGCTGGGAGGCAATAAAGGGTTTTTATTTTCACCCTTTTAAAATAGTAAAACGCGATGGTGCCATTCCCTAGCCCACCCCATCCCCCACTACCACAGCCAGCAGGTGGAGGGAAAGGATACTGTAGACTAGAGGATGAAAGCTTTGTATAACCCTTTGGACTTTATATGTAAGAATGCAGCTGGTAGTCTGGGGGGGGGGGTAAAGAGATTTGTGAATAAGCTGAATTAAGGGGCATCCTTTGCCTGGAAGAGGGCACACGGTGAGCCACATCTTGAATCAGCTATGTCCATAGCAAAACAGAGGCCGCAGGAAGGCACTGTTAGCATCACCAGGATGGCCACTCACGCCGGGGGTGTTTTTTTCAACGGAGAAGTTGAATCCTGTAGTTTGAATATTGGAGGGAGGCAGGGGTAGAGCGGGAATTGGGAAGACCAGAAAAAAATGCCTGTAAGTGGAGACGCCTCGGGCCTCGCCGAGGAAGTTCCGAACCCCACTCGGTCGCCACACGCTCACACTCCCCCACCCCACCTCCCACTGCCCTCCTTCCCCCGGTGCCAAACGCCGGTGCCCGAGAGAAAGCCGGAATCGCCGCCGCCGCCGCCGGGGTGGGGGGCCGCAACCGGGCAAGAGCGGCACGGCGCACGCACGCCTCCTCCGCACTCGCCGCGCCCGGCGTCCCCGCGGCGCGGCCCAGCGCCTCGCTCCCGCGACGGACCGGCTCCGCCGGGCAGGCCTAGGCCGCGCTGGCTGTACCCCGGCACCTAGCTCCCCAGCAGAGGCGAACCAGGCCCGACACAAACTTCCCGGCGCGTTAGCAAAGGCGTCACGGACGGGCCGGCCCCCAGCGCCATTCCCCCGTGGCCCCTCGGCAGCTCCCGCCCCTACTCCCCAAACTCGGAAGTCCCGGCGGAGATCGGTCCGAGGTCCACCCCTCCCGCACCCTCGAGTTTACCTCCAAGTCGCGGCCTTTGTTCTTGAAATTCTTGAGCCGTTGGTTGTCCAGTTTCTCGTTGTCCGCCATGGCCGGGCCGGTGACTCCTTCCCCCGCCCGGGCCCCGCGGGATCCGCCCCAACCACCACGCCGCACCGACACTCCCAGGAACCCGGCCGCCGCCTGAGCTGCCTTGCTCGCCGCGCTGCCGCTTCCTTTCTCCTCTCACCTGCCGGTGCCGCGGCCTTCTCCTCCTCTCCCCACCCGTCCCACCCCCCGCCCTAACCCCAGCGCGACAGCAGCTCCAGCAAAGACAACTGCGGGGCCGGGCGGCAGCAACCGCGGCGGAATGTGCTGCCGGCTGAGAGGGGGAGGCAGCCTCGATGTGAGGGCCCCCGGCACTGCGGCCACGCCCATCGCTGCCAGCCCAGTTCGCCAATTGGCCGACCAGGCTTTAGTGAACTCCACCAATCAGAAGGGACGATGGAGAGCTGGGGCGGAAGAGCGAACGAAAAGGGGAAGCGTGCGGCCCTGGGAGGAAGGGGCTTACGGCCCTGTAGGCAGGGAAGAGGAGGGGCGCGGCGGGGACCGGGCGGGGAGGGACCACGTGCCTGCGGAACAGGAGGGAGGAAGCCAAGAGAATTACACTTGAGTGATGGGAAGGGGAAGGACGATTTGTTTCGCTGTGGTGGTAAGGGCAGTCCCAGACTTCTGGAGTCCAAGATAGAAGCCGAGTTAAACTACGTTCTTTTCTTCTGCGTCGCGTCTTGTCTTCCAGGGCATTCTTTGCGCGCTCCGCTGGATTTACAGGAAGTGGGAGCCGCGCTTTGGCTTTAAGCTGGGTCGGAACACCCCCTTGTCCAGCTCCCCACTGAGCTCCGTTCTAAGGCACGGGGTCTCTGCCCTCCTGGGCTCGGGCGTTGAGGAGCAGACTGGTAGGAGTGACTTCCGTTCCGGAGGCTCAGCGGCAAGCTGGAGGGACGTTGGGTGGAAAAGGACGCGTTAGACAAATCTAATTCATTCCCTCTGACCGAGTCCCCGCAACAGGTAGGAACTTGTGGACCGCTGATGATACCATCTTCTAGGTATTTCGTCCTAAAGTAGCTACTCGGCCACAAAGCACTAGATTCTGTAAGGCGGGGACCGTGGCACCTTTACAAAGTAGTGAACTGTTTTTAACTGTCGAAAAGGGAAATATTCCTCATAAAGATGAGGAAAATTATCGCCGGAGGCAGAAAAAACACGAACTACACAAGAACGTACTCATATTTCAGAAAAAGGAAGAAAGACGGGGCTTAACAATATACTTAAATACCAACTAATAGACTAAGTGTGCAGGAAAACGTGAAGTACAGTAGTCAGCCACCACTGAGGTTGGATGGAAGACGTGTGTGTGTGTGTGTATGTATGTATGTAAGTTTTGGATGTGTTTAAATTCGGCGAGTTCCCCCTTCCCTCCCAGTCCTTACTGGCGTGTGTATATATGTATTGTACATATAATATATAATAGTTATTTTTTAATAGAACAACGTGCAGAGATAAGACATTTAAAATGGGGAATAATACCTTTAAAGTCCTCAATATTTTGTATACTTTGACCTGCCTAGACAAACAGAAGTAGTACCTGGAAATAGTTCACACTGAAGGCTAACTTGATTGGAAATTCAGTGTGGATTTTAATGATAAGGTTCGTTATAAATCTTTATAACCCAAAGGATCATTTAATTGAAGTAACATTGCACATTGGAACACTATTTTTAAAGTTATGTGTTTAGAATAAAATTCAGTTGAAAAGCTAGAATATGTGTGTGTTTTCCAGCAAGATGGATTTTTGTCACAAGCAGAATTCAAGAAAACAAATTACTAGAGAATTCCTGCCCTATAATTAGAAGTTATCTTGCTAACATGCTGTGTAAAGACAAATATTTTGTACTTTTTGGAATAAATTCCATCATAGTTCTCATGAAATTGTCTGCCATTATGTATCTCCATGTCTCCCAGTTACAACTGGTTGTCTCCGGTGACTGAACAACTGGAAGTTCTCTGCAGAATCCTCCTCAGAGGAGGCTGTGATCACTGTTGTCCACTTAGGAAGATACAATACAAACAGGAAATAACCATAACGTGTCATTTCAGTTCTTTTTTAAATTATTTGTTTAATGTCTGTCTAGGCTCTGTCTTCCTCGTTTGACAACAAGCTTTCCGAAGTCCAGGGTCATATTTGTTTTGTTCTCTCTATATTCAGCACCTAGTATGTGGCACATTATATGCTCTCAGTGACTATTTGTCAAGTGCAAGACCTGAATCTAAGCTACTTTGAGTATATGTTTGATAAGTTCAAAAACAGGCTAACACTTCTTGATTAAAAATGTGGATTGAGTTGTTGTTGCTTCTGATTTACATCGGGTTTCTTCTAAGAATTCTTAACTTGGTATCATGCTCATTCCAGAGTTGAGATTCAGGGAGTAGATTAGACATGAGTTTCAGGGTAAATCCCCTGTACATGTTTAAAAGTAGTTGTGAAAAATAAATAAATAAATAAAAGTAGTTGTGGCACAATTTGCTAAGATGAACAATTATCCTTAATTATAATCTTTAGGTAGTCTGTTTGCTGGCCTAAATTTTTCATTTGAAATGATCATACCTGTTACCATTCAGTTTCCATATTTGCTGTTTGTACTTACAGTTCTAGATCAGGGGTGTCAAACTCATATTCACCAGGGGCTGCATCAGCCTCGCAGTTGCCTTCAAAGGGCCAAATGTAATTTTAGGACTGTATAAATGTAACTACTCCTTAACTAGGGTCAAGGACCTCTGCGCTGCTGTTGGGCAGAAACAAGGTGCCAGGCTGGATAAAACGACGTGGAGGGGCGGATTCAGCCCATGGGCCTTGTATTTGCCACCTGTGTTCTAGATGGAAGATACATAGTTTACCAGAGGAGTAAAGAAGTTAGTCTGGGAGTTGGTAATAGCCCTAAAAACAGATTGGCAACCTAATTGGGAATATATGGTAGCTCTAACTATAGTTAGGAGATACCAGAAATTCAATTTGCTGAACTAAGAAAATAGTAAAATTTAGCTGTCAATGCCATTTTAACATGGGTTATTTAACAAATGTTTTTTTCATGTGTGTTTATGAAATAAAGTTGTAACCAAACAGTATAAAACCTATACAGGCATACTGCACAGATATTGCAGATTCTGTGACAGACCACTAATAAAGCAAGTATCACAGTAAAGCAAGTTGTACTTTTTTTTGCTGGTGGAGGGTCTTGCCTTCAATTTGTAAAAAATGCAACACCTGTGAAGTGAAATCAAGTGAAGCACAATAAAAGGTGCCTATGGATGAAATCTATTTTCCAATATATGTTCATATCTTCAGTTGCTACTGTGTTGGTATAGGAAAAGTTAAAGTGTTATGAAGATAATTGCTTTTAATGTGTCATGAAATTCTTTTAGAGACACTTTTCTGAATAAAGAAACTTTCTCTGTTCTGCGGGAGAGATTTGTGAGAGCAAGACTTGTGAAGCTTTACAGAGGATTATAGTTCATCAAAGGTAATTTCAAAAAGAATTAAAATTGATAATTATTTCTTTTAAGCAGCTTGGAGTATTCTTATGATACATATACTAAATTGGAAATTGTGAAATCCTTCTTTATCTAGACTATGGATCTTAAAGTTTCTGTTACTGTTTGGGGAATTGTGTGTGATTTCTTGAGCTATTTGTTGGGGAAAATGGAGGAGGCGGGGAAAAACTTTTATTTTGAGTGAAGTACCTGAATGATAGGAGATGATGATTTAAAAGGCTAGCTGTTGATACTAACTTGATTAAAAGTGATGAACCACTAGTAATTTTTTAATTTAGTTTTTTAAGCTTAGTTTTGACTAAGTAATTGGAGAAAAATTAATAATTCCTGTGTACAAATCATTGGTTGATAACTACTTTTATTGCTACTAGGCAAACATACATAGATTTTTCTAAAACTTTTTCTTTGGGCCTAAAATACTGGAAAATGAAAGGATGTATATATATTTATTTTTAATTTTTAAAATATAAATACCACAGAAGGAGCAACTTGAGAAGCCAAATAGTCAAGGAGACAATCATATGATTTAGAGCAATTTTCTCAAATAGAGAATTCCCCAGAACTAGATGTTAGTAAGTGCTCCTTTAAAAAGTTTCTTTGGTTTAACAATTTGAGGAACTTGAGGGTGAGAGAGCAGTGAGAACTCTGAGACATTAGTGTTAAGTAGAACACTATTTGGAAACTTGAAATTAGTGATCTAAAAAGATCACTATTGCTCCTCAAGTTAAAAATGTGTTAATAGCATCAGGCAAGTATAATGACTTACAAATGGGTGGTATTTGAGAAGTTTGCTTACAGATAAGCAAACAGATAAGTTCTTTGAAAACAATAATAACTAGGGCGTAGCTGCTCTGATTAGCCCACAAAAGTTTATTTACTCTGTAAGGTATTTATATGAATGTCATAGGACCCAGTCACAACATGAGACAAATATGTCCATGAGGAAAATATTTGGATTTACAACTTTGATCAGGAGGAGTCCATCCCATGTATTTGTCATTTGTATTTGTGCTATAATATAACCGATAATCAGGTGTGTTAGTGATGAAGTTACCAAGGTTACATTTTCCCTTGCACTTAGAGTTTCATGGATCAAACATTTTATAGACTCATACCTGACTTGATGTAATGGGAGCCTGGCCCAGCTCTCAGCAGCCAGGCGCCCGTGATTTCCAATAGCCCATACTGGTGAGCAACATCAGAATTCTAGCAACTAGGACATAGGACACTGGGGAGTAGATGGGTTATAAGTCCAATTTCTTGCCCCAATATTTTCATTTTAGGCAAGCCCCGCACCCTTATCTTTTCTTTTTGTAATGTAACTGCAGTAATCTCCCAACCTCCCACAGTAGCACCTCATATAACTGTAATACACTGTCAAAACCAGGAAATTGATACTGATATAATCCACAGAGCTTCTTTAGAGGGGAGGGAAGACATTAGAATGTAAAGAGTATGTTAAAGTATCGGAGGGTGCCTACATGCTGGAATCTCTGATAACCCTATGCTTTATGAGAAAGAATTCCATGGCAGTCATACTTGTTACACGTAGTGAGTACCTACCGTGTGTGAAGTATTTTTTATTATCATTGTTGTCCTTTGTATTTGTGTTTAGAAACATCTGACAATTAGCGAGCAATTGTGTGGCAGACTGTCTTCTAAGCAGTTATATATATGACTATTAACTCATTGATAATCCTCACAAGTGTATTATTACTCACTTTACAGATGACAAATTTGAAACATAGAGAGATTTAGTAATTTGCCCAAGATCACACAGTAAATAGAAGAGCTGACATTTGAACTGGGTCCACCCGGAGCCAGCATTGGAGTATTGGTGGGAACGGGTAGGTTTAATTTCCATCTTCTGTATGAGGAACCTAAGCTTCAGAGAGGCTAAGCAACTTGCCAAGACCCTACACAGTGAACAAGTTCTAGAGCCTCAGTTTGATTCCAGGCCTGACTAGCTGCAAAACCCCCACCATTTTTAGTTGACCGTTGCTATGGACTGAATGTTTGTATCTCCCCCACTGCTCAGAAAAAAAAAACCCTCTTATATGTTGAGAGCTCATTCCCAATGTGATGGTGTCTGGAGGTAAGGTCTTTCAGAGGTAACTAGGTCTCAGGATATGCCTCAAGAATGGGATTAATACTCATCTAAAAGAGGCCTGGAGAAGACCCCTCATCCTTTCACCTGTAAGGTTACTGCGAAAAGACAGTGGTCTATGAGGAAGAGAGTTCTCACCAGACACCGAGTGAACCAGCACCTTGATCTTGAACTTCCTCGCCTGGTGAACTGTGAGAAATAAATTTATGTTTATAAGCCACCCAGTCTATGGTATTTTGTTACAGCAGCTTGAACAGACAAAACAATTATACTATCTCCCTGGCCTATAGCAAAGATGTACTGGACCTCTATGATGTGATTTATATAAAGAAATATATATATTTGGTCTTCCTCCATGGTTTCTGGCACGTAACACCTGAAACCTTTGTAATTTCCTTAAGGTTAAGAGTTACTGGGGCATCTTTCCTTTCATATTCTGAGATAGTTCAAGAGTGAAAATTGGATGTTCTTAGTGACTTCAGGAAAGTCCCTAAGAATAGGGGGCTGGTTGCCAGGGGAAGTAACTGTGATGAGAGGGTTGAAACTTGCAGTCCTATCCCCCTCTGACCTCTGAGAGGGGAGAGGGACCTGAGTTTGAATCAGTGGCCGGTGTTTTAGACAATCGTGCCTCCACAATAAAGCCTCCATTAAAAACCCAAAAAGGACAGGTTCAGAGAGCTTCCATTAGGTGGGTGTGTGGAGGTGCTGAGAAGGTGGTGAGCCCGAGGAAGACGTGGGATGGAAGTTCTGTGCCTCTTTTCCCAAACCCTGCCCTATGCATCTGTTCCATCTGGCTCTCTTGAGTTAGATCATTTCAGAATAAACCGGAAATCCAGTAGGTGAATTTTCTTCCAAGTTCTGTGAGGTGCTTTAGCAAGTTAATTGAACCCCAGGAAGGGGCTGTATAACTCTCCAATTTATAGCTTGGTCAGTCAGGAGCACAGGTGACAACCTGAACTTGTGATTGGTGTATCAAGTGAGGTGGGGAAGCCTTAATCTGTGGGATCTGACACCTATCTCCCAGTCATGTCAAAACTGAGTTACAGGACATTTGTCACAGAATTGCATGGTATGGGGAAAAAAAAACAACTACACACTTGGTGATCACAAGTGAAAATAGTGCTGTGAGTAAACAAAACAGGAGAATATTTTTTCCTTAACAGGCTCTGAAGAGGTGCAATTCTGAAATGCCCGAAGGCAGTAATTCACTTTAGTGTGCTTTCGAACCACCTGCAAAGCTTAAAACCCAAATTGGTGGACTCCATCACCAGTTTCTTCTTTTTAATGTCATTCGTCACTTTATTTTCTATTATTTTTTATTGATAATGCTATTACCGTTGCTCCAGTTTCCCTCTTTGCCCCAATTCATCCAGCACCCCATTCTCTCCAGCAAATCCCCACACCATTTTTCATGGTCTTGCATCATGCGTATAAGTTCTTGGATGACTCCATTTCCTACACTGTACTTTACATCCCCATGGCAATTCTGTAACTACCTATCTGTACTTCTTAATCCCCTCACCTCTCCACCCATTCCCCCATATCCTTCACAGCTGGAAAATATCAAAATGCTTTCCGTATACATGATTCTGTCTTTCTTGTTTCTTGTTTGTTTTTTAAATTTAGTTGTTGATAGGTATGCATTTATTGCCATTTTATTGTACATAGTTTTGATCTTTTTTTTAAATAAGTCCCTTTAACATTTCATATAATAATGGTTTGGTGATGATGAATTCCTTTAGTATTTTTCTTGTCTGGGAAGCTCTTTATCTGCTCTTCAATTCTAAATGATATCTTTGCAGGGTAGAACAATCTTGGCTGTATGTGCCTGCTTTTCATGACTTTGGATATTTCTTGCCAATCCCTCCTAGCCTGTAAAGTTTCTTTTGAGAAATCAGCCGATAGTTTTATGGGAGCTCCCCTGTAGGTAACTAACTCCTTTTCTCTTGCTGCTTTTAAGATCCTCTCTTTATCTTTAATCTTTGGCATTTTAATTATGAAGTGCCTTGGAATGGGCCTTTTTGTATCCATCTTGTTTGGGACTCTCTGTACTTCCTGGACTTGCATGTCTACTTCCTTCACCAAATTAGGGGAGTTTTCTTTCATTATTTTTTAAAATAGCTTTCTAATTTCTTGCCCTTTCTCTTCTCCTCTGACACCCCTATGATGTGAATGTCGGAACATTTGAAGTTGTCCCAGAGGCTGCTTTCACTGTCCTCAGTTTTTTGGATTGTTTTTCTTGTTGCTGTTCTGGTTGATTGTTTTTTGTTTGTTTATGTTCCAAATCTCTGACTTGATCCTTGGCTTCATCCACTGTACTGTTGTTGCCCTATAAATTGTTCTGTATTTCAATTAGTGAATCCCTCATTTCTGAATGGATCTTTTTATTCTATTGATGTCCTTACTGAGTTTCTTGAGTGCATCTTTATAACCAGTGTTTTAAACTCTGCATCTGATAAGATTGCTTATCTCCCTTTTGTTTAGTTTTCTTTTTCTGGAGTTTTGATCTGTTTTTCATTTGGGCCTTGTTTCTTTGTTCCTTTTGGGGGCCTCCCTGTGTTTGTTTCTATGTATTAGGTGGAGCTGCTATGACTCCCTGTCTTGGTGATGTGGCCTAATGTAGTAGGTGTCCTGTAGGGTCCAGTCTTCTGTAGAGGACCCTGTAGAGGTGTTCTGTAGGTGCCACAATCTTCTCTATCTCCCAAGCTGGGTACTTGAGGTATGCCCAAGTTGCCACTCCTCTTGTAGTTGAGCCTTTATTGCTGTCAGCAGGTTAATGTGAGGGATATACCCACGCCAGTCACTTGCAAGGACTGGCTCTGACCACTAACCACCGACCTCCACTCTTTGTGGAAGATCAGC